GAATTATATATTTCACTGAGTATAGTTTTCCTTTTTTTCTCTTCACAGGCAAGGTTACCCGTTTTTTTCAACTCTTGTTTGAAGTCGCGCCATCCTCATATGAAGTTCCGGAGGTCGGCCAGGAAATGTAACATGAAACATCCTGTAGCTCGATTTATTCCGCCAGTTATGTACAACTTAGGTAATTTCCATGAGCCGACTTCATGTGCTCTGGACTGGTTAAATGCCACGCATTTCCGCGTCGCCTATAGGTGTGTTAACTTCAACATACCAATAGAATATATTAATCAGATATGTATAGCATTTGTAAGTACTATGTCAGAGGTTATTACCAGAACGTGTAGTTATGATTGGCTAAAAGCAACTCATTTCAGAGTAGCTTTTAGGTTATTATAATCAGCAGTTTTTCGTAATGATTTTCTTCCAATTATCAATCATGGTATGTATCATTTTATTCAACAAACTTAGAACCAGCATTTAATGAAATTATGTAAGCTGTGTTATTTTAAAATATATAGGGAGAAAGACAAAGTATACTGTACTTCACAGTAGCAAACTTTAATTGAACCAGCAAGCTTTATATCATATACTAAACATCTTTAGCTCTTACTCAACCAGGAGTTGGGGTGGGGTGGGGTAGACCAGGGATAAAAATTACAATTCATCAGGTAGAAAAAAAAAAATTATACAGCACGCCCTCCAATTCGAGACTCCTCTAATTCCGGGACCCCTCTAATTCAAGACCATTTTTTTTTAAAGAACCAAATAACAATTATTGACAATCTTTTAACAAGAAGCTAAGTCTCTAAATGGAGACCCAACCTCGGGACCAGCCCAAATTTTCAGGTCTCGAATTGGTGGGTGAACTGTATGTATTTTGTTACATATTGTTAGATATAATTATTGATTAAAAACCTTTCAAATTCATAAATTGTCATAGCTTTCAGGGAATTCACCCTTGGACTTTCTCCGAGAGATTCTGAGCAATGCTTGTCCACAGGCTAGGCTAGGCCGAGCCGATGGTCCCGCATGGCCCATGTGACCCATTTACGCTCTTCTTAGAAAAAGCCTGTCACCCACTGTACTCACCTTAAGAATTTTACAGTTTCAACAAAAACTTGTAGTTTTCGTTGAATTTTACTAGTATGTAAAGTCTCGTCTTTATCGCAAAGAACAAGCAGTAGTTTTTGTCTTAAATTTCATTCTTTCCTAATACCTGTAAATATATTGAATTTATAGTAAATCTTGTGATCCAAATTGTTTAATTTGGCCTGATTGTCTTTTTATCTACCATCAGATATTTTTGATTATGTAAATGTGGTTTTATCACAGATTTGTAACAAAATGTTGTGGATTTGTCAGTAGAGAGTATTTGAGGGGAAATGATACAGATATAGAAAAAAGAGTAGGAGAATGGCCCATAAATCGCAGCACCATTGTACTGAATTAAGTATGAATACCTAGCCGCCATAAAAAGGTGCTTATAATATCTTCATGTTCACATCCTTACACGACAGGGCCTGAAATGAACCATTGCATCAAGGTAACCCCTACTCTTCAGAAAAGATGCAGTGGGTTCTTTAAACTGCACACACAAGCCAGATTGATACACTGGACCTCCATTTTAATTCCCTATTTAAGAATACTCGGTTCTACCAACCCAACCCTGGGCAAGGAGCGGCTTGAACCGGCGCCAGTGTTAAGACTGCAGTTTAGGGTGCCCCTGTCTTATCGCATGGGCACTTGACTCAGCAGTTAGCAGCAATTTACCAAAAGATGAAGTGAGATCGAATGCCTCTTCAGTTGTGATTTTCATTAATAGTTTCATCATATTTTAGGAACATTGAACACTATTGATAGCAGATTTATATCTGCTGAGTAGTAGAAATGAGTAGGTTTTGAAACTCTTGACTAAACTATTAGGTTTTATGTGGCAAATTTGTGTGATTCGCCCTTATATGGGCATGATGGTGTCATGTCTCACCCATATATAGGCATGATGATGTCATATGACATGTCTGTGTTTCTTCCATCCACTGTCAAAAAAAAAGTTACAAAAATTATGACATCTTCAGTTACATTCTGTAATATAAGTACATTCTTTGTCTGAGTCAGTGTATTAATTATTCTTTTCCAAATATATGAAATAAGATTTATACCAAACCATACATATAAGTGGTATTTGCCTATTTATAAGGCTGAGTAAATGAATAGGCATTTACCAATTCCTGTTATTGTTACACTGCCAGTAGACCTCTGTAAGTTGCATGTTACATTTCACCTTAATGAATCATGGTACCTTGATGAAATTAATAACACTGTACTTACCAAGAAAATTCTGCCAAAGAAATGCATTATTTATGCACTGTTACCTATCAAAAAAAGAAGGCGTTTCTGGATTTACTCGAACCTGCAACCTCTTGCTCTCAAGGTGGGCATCATACTGCTAGACCACAGTGGAATTTATGTAACTATTGATTAAATCAAGTGAATTTTCGAACAAACTAATGTGTAGATTCATATTAGTATAGTGTATTACTAATGATTAAAAATATGCAATGAGAAATTCTCTAATACTTTTGAAGTTGGATGCAGGAATCAACAGTAGACGTATTCATAGAAAATTTATGCATGAAATTAATTTAAATCAAAAGGATGCATACTTTGAATTTCGTATTCAATGTCAGTTTTGCTAATATTTGTATCTAAACAATCTTTCCAGCTCCTAACAAATTAATTGATTAACCAAACCCAAGATTAATTAGATTTAATTGCGATTGATTGAAATATCTATGTAACTCTTTTATCAGTTGACTCCTGTCGGGGTCCATTTTCTATTTTTTAAAAGCACCCTCATGTGGAAATATAATAGCGCCCCCATCAGAAGGTGTTATTTTATTGTGCAACCTTCGTTTCAGTGGTATAATTTTTTAGAATGTGCATAGCAATTTTTTGAGATGACTATTTTAAGTGATCATAAGAATTAATATTATAAATTTAATTATCAAATATATTTTATACAGTATCAATTTTAAAATTATTTTGGTTCATCTCATTGTTTATGTTAAAATGAATGATCTTTCATTCGGACTAATTCTTAAAATCTGTATATTGGTATAGATAATGTATAATAATTGAGAATATAATATTGATCAAATATTTATGATGCTTACATAGAATTACTTCTATATATAATTTATGAAGTAAATATTCTCTATTTCTTAAATTATGAATCCAGCATTTGATAGTGAGGTACTGTGGATTAATGGTGGGGGCTTTCGATTGCACGACGTGGTAGGATGTAGAACGTAATGACGTCACTAAGAAGTCACCTGTGCAGCGAGAAGATTAAGTTCTTCTCGTCGAGTGGATTAGTGGCAATTTGGACAAATCTACGTTGTGCAAAGAACGTAGAAGTGAATCCGTCCTGGAGTCGCGTCGTCATGCACATCGAAAGCTCCCTAATGAGTAAAGATGACTTCAATATTTTTTTTCTTTGAATTCGAACAGTTAAATTTCTAGTCATATTTTTCTCACAAAGACACCTATGCTGAAATATTCAATTGCTTGTTTTTGACAATGTATTTCGCATATGATAATGCCCATTGCCCAATCAGAAATCTAAATACCTGACATGCTATTACGTCACTAAAACATGTCACGTGTATATACAGTATATGCGCTGCCTTCGTCACAAGCACCCACTCAGACGTCTATGTGCATAATATATTTGAGACACATCACCATATAGATATCACATCAAAGGTTTGTTGTGTTTGATATTGTTTAGTTCTGCTAATTTGGTTGTTACAAATACTTTCTGTAAGTTTCCCTCAAATTTAAGTTATGTGTTTTTCGTTGTTGAACAACTGCAGTGTGTATGCTAATTTTTAAGTTATGATTTTTGTATAAATATGAACATTCTGATAAGTTACAATTATCAAGTAATAATCATATATCCTTTTTAGTTCCTATGCATGTAATGCAATAGGAACTATTGTAATCACTCTTGCTATTTCCTATGTTTTTTATTGTGTGTAGTGCTGTCTCTTATACACATCTAGATGTGTATAAGAGACAGGATATAATTATTGATTAAAAAGTTGTTACAAATACTTTCTGTAAGTTTCCCTCAAATTTAAGTTATGTGTTTTTCGTTGTTGAACAACTGCAGTGTGTATGCTAATTTTTAAGTTATGATTTTTGTATAAATATGAACATTCTGATAAGTTACAATTATCAAGTAATAATCATATATCCTTTTTTATGATTATGATTATTACATTTGATAGTGAGGGCTATATAATTGCTACACAAGTTGCAACAGCTATCATCAGTGTATTGAAATTATGTTGATTATAGTAAAATAAAAAAAAACTCTTGATACAAACAATTATAAGACTATTATTACTAAACAAAACGTATATTATAATAAAACGCTTTCTAAATCAGGATAAAAACAAGTTGCACAACTGTCATTATTACAAAAAAAAATGATGCTCATTTTGGCTGGCTGGTATAACCCTAGTAAATCTGGGTTCGAGTCGTCGCACAACGGTCATTTTTGCTTAATATGTTTTTAATGGTATGTTAAGATGTTGCAAGTAAAGATTAAGATTGACTGCACGATAATTACAATTAACATTATATATATTTTAATTGGCATATTTTTTTTTCGAATGCTAGACGCGCAGACATTTGGTTTATTATATTTTCAATGTTTTCTTTTCGTTAATTGTAACTACGTTAAGTAATTGTGCACTTGCATAATTATTTCATTTGCTCTGCAAGTTGCAACCGTTTCCTTTATTTTACTGAATTTGTTTCTATTTTCCTGGTTTTCGATTTACATTGATGTTAAGTTGTACCATTTTTTATGGTCTGTACTACAATTGTTTTTGTATTGTGCAATTGTTTATGCAGCTGTATGTTATCTCCACGTTTCAAGCACAATTAAAAATACTTACCTCAAAACTGTCTCTTATAAAACTTCTAAAGTTTGAAATAGTAATATTTTTAAACCGAACAAAACAAATCGTATGCCATGCAATTACCAACTGTGAATTGCAACTATTGTACGTATTGGTAAATAGAATCAAATCATTTGTCATATAGAAATTATATTTTTATTTAGAAATACAAGCTGGTATCCATGAATTACTTTTGTAATTTTAGATTTAATTTTTCTCATTCATATTGTACTTTGCCATTGTATTCGTGTTTACTTCAGATTTCCTTATTTACAGAACGTGTAAAACAAATAAAATTAACAATGAAGTGCTTAGATCACTTAGTGGTATATTGTATTGTTTCAGTTAATTGAAGTCAGAAAGTTTTAAGACCTATTTCGTTGTATGCCTGTGCTGTATGCTCGGTTAGATGGAGGCCACTCTTATTGGCTGTAAGATCAATGACATCACCCTTACCATCGCGTTTATTGGTTAGTTTAAAATCCATTATTCCAATCAAACAAAAATGAACAGAAATAGCTATAAATTAACCATTGTTTGAGTGCTATGGATGTAAATGGTGTAGTGTATTATAGGCCTCCTCTGAACCTATGGAATAAATACTGTGTACAAGAGGTGTGAACACATGACGATTTTCTTTCTTTTTTACCCATACTGTATCTTCTAATAACCTCTTTATATCGTCTGTTAAGCCTGGTATCCAAAAAAAAAAATACACTGTCGTGTTTTTGTCATGCAATAGTTACACAGCGTAGTTGTTTCCCCCACCTCCCGACGAAATGGACCTTTTCGCTAAGCCCCGCCCCCTGGATATTGTTGCTAAGTTTCCACAAAATGACGCGTGCGTTTGTGCATGGCACAACACACGAGCTTGTTAGAAACGCGCGTGTTACTGGCCCTGTTCTGATTGGTCAGTTGTTGACACTCCGGAAAGTTCCATTGGAAAGGCTCCCGATTTGGCCAACCAATCAACGTTGCCAAAATGTGTCGGCGATAAGCGTGTAGCGATTTTATGGAAGCCAGGCTTTACCGACGATGTGGACGTAAATATTTGCTGTGTACAACGTATGATAGAATAAACTGATCGAAGATGAAATAAAAAATATAATGTGGATATAACTACTGGGCTTTGATTGTTTTATTTGAGTCGGTTTATACACAGAGGTTTTAATTTGTGCTAATTTACCCAATGAGAAAATACTAATAATACGACTCTTTGGGACTATCCCACACCATTTTTCTAATTGCTCCACCAAGAATGGTTCCACATTTTAAAAATGGATCCAATTTCTCATATTTTGTGTAAAATGGGTCAACTTTTGAGAGAATGGGTCCAGATTTCTCATATTTTGCGTAAAATAGGTCAATTTTTAAGAAAATGGGACCAGATTATTCATTTTTTGCGTAAATTGGAACAATTAACTGTTATGAAAATTGGACCACATTATTTGAATTTATGCATAAAGAGGGTCCACCCTGATATTGTCCCACACTGTTAGAAAATCCTGGCTACGCATTGATTCAAAGTGTTGCCGGGGAGTTCTTGATGGTAGCTGGGAAGGAGCACATTACATAGCTAGAAAATACACTATTGAAGATTTCGTAAGGGTTGTATGAGGGAAGAGATGAAAGTGATTTGATTGTCTGGTTGAGTGACTCTAGGCCTACCTACTTAAACAGAAACATTTTCAACCTATAAGCCGAATTATGATACCCTTCTCCATTTTGAGATCAGTGAGCTCTGAGATAGTTTGATCAATTTTATGAAACAGAAGACTGAACTGAAATAAGCTTTTAAAAAGAGAATGCCACCACAATTTTCTTCAGATATTCGTAATATAGGAAAAGCACTTTAGGTAATACAGTACGTTGGACTTCGATCGTGGATCGTGAATGACTAATTACATATCTCCAGTGTGACCACTCACAATTTTGATATACCCAATGTCTGGGTCAAAATTACCCAAGATTCAGCAAAAATTGCCCAAAATTACCCAAGCTTCCTGAAAATGCATTAAAATTTGAAAAATACGTGTTTTTCGCATGTATAGTTTCCCTTTTAGTTCAATTTATAAACCAATTTTTTATTGTA